AAGGCCATGAAAGGTGTTTCTGGGCCTTCCGGCAGTGTACTGAGCTTAAAGGGAAGGTTAATGTTAAAAGGAGGGTAAGGAGAGCAGCTGTGAAACACCCAGAATGCAAACCTCTAGCCCAAAACCTGCTGGTGGGGTTGCTTGAAAGAACAGGGTCAGGAAATGCCATCAGGTCCCTTACATGAGGCTCACTTTTTGGGAGCACGGAGGTTACAAGGAAGTCTGAGTAAAGCACAGAGCGGGGTGTGCGTGTGTGCGGTGGGGGTGAATTGAATAACGAGGCATCGAGATCTCTTCGGCCAACTCCCAATCAATCTTCTTTCATCTACAAAACAATGCCACAGTTTTAACTGCTGCAGTCCGTTCATCAACCACGGCATCTCGCTGGGTCTTGAAGTTTCAAACAAGATTAATCTGAATGGCACTGATCCGTCCCTTCCACGTGCTGCGGTGCTGCTGAAGACCTTCCGAATTCCCACCACGTGCCCCTACCTCTTCTTGCCCTCTCCATCTCCCCACCCAAGCATAGGAACGGGCCTGCATTTGTGTGTATGGCAGTGCTGTGATACTGTGCGGTGCTCCAAGATTAAACTCGATGGGATTTGCTTTCCGTGATGAGAGAGAAAGGAAATGGGGACTCCGAAGGGCAATAAGCCAACGAAGTCGCAGCTCACACAACTGAGCAGCCCACTGAGGCGCATTAAAGTCATGGCTGCCTGCTGCACCTCTGCCGCCATTTTGAATATTCGAGCTGCAGCAACTCCCCAAAACCCTGGTGCTCGTGGGTTTTTTCTGGAGTCTGAGTAACAAACCACAAACAACTTGAAAACAATGCATGAGTTATGGGTGGCTTTTCAAATATCCCCACAAGCCACCCTCTCCTGGTTTGGACAACATGACAAGCTGTGGTCTCAGCTTGAACTGTGGTTTCAGTGCTTAAATATGTCACTTTGGGTTATTCTCTCTCTCTCTCTCTCTCTCTCTCTCTCTCTCTCTCTCTCTCTCATAATGAAGGGTGATTTTAAAAGAGCATCTGTCTATAACAAATTGGACACCCACTCCTCCAGTGGAAGAACCACAAGTCTTGCTAAACATGCTTAGTGTGGTATCTGGAGGGCACAATCTAAACCAGGGAAGGGGAGCCCCCAACTCCCAGAGTTCCCCCATCTGGCCTGCAAAGGCTTGGGCTTCCCCTGCAGGTTATCTCTCCTCATCCCCCAAGCCCTTACCTGCACAGACCCTGCCCCACTCTGCTAACCCCCTAACTGCCCCTGGAGCCTAAGACTTTAGCTCCTGACAGCAGTTTCTGATCTGATTTCATCCCATGTCTGCTCAACAGCGGGGAATAGATTTAACTATCCTCATCAAATTATTCCCCTGGTTCGTATGCTCTGGCTTCCTCTACAGGAGAGGTTCCTAAAACACGCCTCAGAAAGTAATTGCAACAGCAATGACTATTCAAGCCCAACCTTGCTCCAGCGCTCTGCCTCCTCATAGAGGCCATCAGTCTGCTAAATGGAGATAGAATCAAAAGGAACAGCATGCAATTGTAAGGTCAGGAAATCTGGATACTAAAGAACCACGTACTAACATCCAAAGAATGCTGCAACATTCATTTTAGGCATTTTAGCATCCAGCTATCCTAAACGACAGAGCCCCGAGTGATTTCAGGAGGAAGAGAAGGCTCATTTGCCGATTCCTAGATTAACGCCTAAGTTAGCTTTCCAGCTTGTGGCGAAGACAGGAACATGTTCTCACCTTGACATTAAAACCAAGGAGCTGCTAACCAGTTACAACAGCAGCACTGGCATGAACAGAGGCACTTTCAAGTGTCCAGGATGAGAAACGAGGCATTTTGCCAGCCCTCAGATGACAGCAGCAGCTTCTCGTTGCAAGCCACACCGAACATCAAGCCCGTGTGACCCAGTGCCCTCTTCCTGTGGCACAACCACGAGGAGGCAGTCAGAAGCTGCCCAATTCATGTTGTTATATTAGCATTATATCTAAATCCTACAATGCAATTAATCTTGATTATGCATTGCAGAAAGAAGCCAGCTTTATAACCCACGGTTACCAGAGTTAAGTTTAACTGCAGTCTGTTGGGCTCAAGCAAAATAGCGAGCTGAAATTAAACACAAATGCCAAAGAAAGCTTCCAAACTCCCCTGCAAAGTCAAGCCAGAAAAAGCCCAAGACTCACTCCAGGTTGCTCCCGTGACAATAAACCACGGTTTTCTGTTACAGCCAAATACAACCCATGAATAGCTGAATGGCTCGTTCACTGACCTTTGATGTGAAAGACCTAGTTTAAAAGCAGGCACTTCCAGCAGAACACGCTCTATTTGCCAGCGTGTTGCTGCCTTTTTTTTTTTTTAATGGCATCAAAATTTGGAGACAGGTGTTGGTTGCTAAGCTTTTGGTGAAAATTCAACACAGTGTTTTACAGTAAGCCACAAAAGTAGAGGAAAACAAAATGTTTCGTTAAAATATAAAAGAAATTAAAATATTAATGTGTATGTGACAGGGTTCAGTCTCCATAATTGCCAAGGCAAAGGTGACCTGGCCTGACCCAACCCATGGCACCCTCTTTGCAGACTGGGAATAGTGCTGTAGCAAGAGTCTAAAAGGTCAGATGTTACTCCTTGTTCTTCCGATGCCCTTCAGCATTAAGTTTCTGCCAGCTTTATCACTACTAATGGACCACCTAATAGCGTCTAATAGGCTCTTTTAAACATTTAGATGGAACGATGGAAAGAACTGTGCAGATTGAGTAAAGCAGTAATAATTGAATGTAAGTATATAACCCAGACTGCATGCAATGACATGTAGCCTTCCTGAAATGAACACATGAAACTCTTGTATTGGCTGATAGGATATGAGCTAGTGGTGACTCACCAAAAAGATCTTGAAGTTGTGGTGAGCAGCTCAATCAAGACATCGGCCCAGCAAGTGACAGCTATGAAAAAGGCAAGCTCCGTATCAGGAGTAATTAAGGAGGGAATCAGAAAGAGAACTGGCCATGTCCTACAGCCGTTATAAGAATCCTGCATACAGTTTGGCCACTGCACTCAAGAAAGCCTACTGCAGACTCGGAAAAGGTGCAGAAAGGGGTAGCTGTTAACGATGAAGGCGCTGGAACACCTTCACTTGGAGAAAAGCTTAGATTGTTTAGGCTCTAGGCTGTTTTATTTGAGAAATATTTGGGATTAATTAATTTAGAGAGAAGTGAACATGATGGCAGTTTATAAAATTATCCATGGTGCGGAGAAGACCTTTGCTCCCCTCTTTAGAAACCAAAGAGGTGATCCCCTGAAGAAGTCTAGTGGAAGACTCAGGAAAGACACATGGACGTCCTTCACGCAGCACACCTATTATAGAATTATCTGCAGGAAGTATGTTGGCCATCAAGTTTGATGGTTTCAAAGGGGACTGGACAGTCCTGAGGGCCATAGGTTACTTCCAGAGGCAGAGTGCCTTCATATGCCACTTTCTGAGGAAGGTGGGTAGGAGAGTGGGGCTACACTCAGATCCTGCTTGTGGGTTCACACAGCGGCCAGCTGATTGGCCACTGTGTGAACAGAATGCTGGACTTGAAGGATCCTGGATGTGATCCAGCATAGATCATCTCAAGTCTGTTATGATCACAATTATCCAAGGTCCCAGGGAGGAACCCTTCCCAACCTAGTCCTGAAGGATCCTTCCGGTGACTGGAAATACCAACGCTTAAGCCCAGGATCTTCAGGCAGGCGCTTTACCACCAGCAACTGATGGCGCAAATCGGACACTGATGCCCGAAGAGGCACATCCACACACCGGTGCATGGGGCACATAATTCCTGCCCCTCACAGCCTTCACTATCCATCCTGGAGCCCTTGCACCAGGAATAATAAAATGCCCAGCACATTCTGAGATAAGACTAGTACGCAGATTTCCAATACATGTGCCAAGAAACGTGCATGGGCACCCCCATATTGCGCAAGTACAGGCCTTCCCCAAGGGGGATATTAGCACCAAAGAAAAAGGGCTAGAGGGACGGTCTTCACATTTCACCACTTGCTGTGCACCTGTATCTTTTGTGCCACGTTCTGGACGGTTCTCAGGGTTCATGCAAATTCTGCTGCAAGCCTGCAGTCGGCCCCACCCAGGAGCCGATGGGTCCAAATAGATACCGATCCGGTATGAGGCTTCCAGTCCTCCGAGGCTTATGATATGGCCCAGGGAGGCACACTGAACTAATTTTACTCCTACCTCCACTTCTGAGAGGGAAAGAAAAAAAAATAAAATCAACCTGAGGACATCCATACATCCAGAGAGAATTTAAAATTACCTTTGCCTTACCAATTTCACCCCAGCAGGAGTTCTCAGAATTTTACAGAAGACTACATCTGATGATTTATAAATATTAAATATATTTTAAATTTTAAAGTATATATTTTGGAGTGCAACAGATCACCATTCAAATTATCTAATGCAATCTATCACAGCAGACAGTCATCTCCTGGAGGCAATATTCTTGACCTTAGCACCACAGTGGGAATGTCTGATCTTTCAGGTGCATCTGTGCTTTTTCCAGATGTCCAAGAGAGTCAAAGTACTCCTGGAAGTTTGCAGTGGTCACACTCTGCTCAATATGAGGCAGCGAAAAATTAGGCAATGAAAACAAAAGCCCTCAATGATTTGTACAACACGAACCTCGTAGATCAGGGCCGTGTACAAACTGCACCCGTTTCTGACACACACGCTGTACAAGTTTGTTCTCTACATCATCCCCATGGAACAAATCCCAAATTAAAAAGCCCCCCAAAGACCAGCTCTGGCTTACAGAAGGGATGACGAGAAAGCAGATCAAGCATTTCCATGTCTCCCTTTATGTTAAGATGGGAATGAGGGGATAGTCAGTGAACAGTGAAATTGAAAAGCAACAATATTGAAACTGATGAAATGCACAGTTAAACTGAAGAACTCACGGCCACCAGGCTCAACAAAGAAAGCGTAGTAAAATTTTTTGAATGAGCCAGGTACTTTTATTAAAAAGACCAGATTTCATTTTTTGAAAAGTTAATCCTCCTTTAAATAGCAATTATTTCAGACAGAACCCTTTGTATTTACTCTTTTTATTCCTGTTAAACAGGTGTCTAAGTTGCCTGTTCAAAATAGCATCTAGACCTTAATTTTTAGATCCACTGCATTACAATAGTTCTTTCTAGATATGGTTCCCTCCAAAATGTTCCCAAGTGGAATTTGTGACCCACCCAGGAAGCCATTTTGGCTAATGGGCAGTGCAGAAATTAAATTAATTAACCTTTTCCCCCGGAGAGGCTGGGAAGAGCAACTGGAGGCCCATGGAGGTGTATTAAGCAATGAACCTGCAAAGATCTCGCTTCCATATCGAAGGCTCAGCTGCATGGAGCCGAAAAAGCTCTCTCACCCAAGACGACTGGCCCACGTCTAACATACAGGTGTTGTAACACAACCGAAGCATTTCACACAAAAAACATTCTGTCATGATCGAAGAAGGCCTTCTCCAATGCATGACCTTCCAGAAGTGTTGGACTGCAACCCCCATCATTCCCAGTCAGGATGCTCACGGACAGGCAAGTCTGGAGGCCTCCAGGCAGGGGAAGGCTGATCTAAGGAGCAGAAAGACACAGGGCTAAAGTTTTAAATAAATAAATCCCGGCTGTTGCGTGATTTTTCTCTCCGGCTCCCGAGCGTCAATTAACGGGAAGCAACCGCGCTGCTCTCCAAGAGCCAAATGTGTTATTAGGTTCACTTATCACCCGGTACAGAGGTCGGGAGCGAAGAAGCATGGCTTTGTTGTGAAGTGAAAGAAGAGAAGCTGGCCAGTGCAGAAGGTGCCCTGATTAAAGGCTGATGCACTATGGGAAACATGCCATTCCCATGCGCTGGCAACGCGCTGTGTCTTTATGGAGCCACAGAGCCAATCTGGGGCAAGGAGGCATAGCTCCTCCATGAGCAAAACAGAGGGGCACAACCTTCCGGGAGAACTGTGGGTGCGTAGCTCCTCCAAGGACCTGCTGGAAAACGCTCTGGTATCAGAGACAGCAAAGATTACATAATATGAAAAGAAAAGGTATTCATTTTGGCCAAAGACAAAAGCTGGCTCAGTGTAACGTATTTATTGAGCCAACCAAAAGGTATATATAAGATAGAGAGCAATGCTCATTTTAGCAAAAGCAATACTACTTTTCTTCAGGTGCTTCTGACCTGTCCAAATATTGGTGTGGCCCGAATAAGGAAAACAGATACAGTTTAATCTATTGTGAGATATTTTTAGAGATGTTAATGCCTGGATAAATTGTTTAATAATTTCTCTCATTGTTTTAAGACTTTGTAGGATTCAGGTTTTCTTACCTCAGTGAAATTGTCCTGAGTTCCCTGGGTAGTCTGTACACATCACAGTACAACAAAACACCATAAAATTCCAGAATATGCTCTTTAAAATAAATTGGAAACAGTTTAAAAATATTATATAGAATTAACCTATAAAACATTTGGGATGGGTACCCCCCTCAAAACATTAAACAGCCTTGGATGTCTTTAAGTGCCTTGGCATGGGGGGGGTGGTAAAGGAAAAGGTAAAGGTTTCCCCTTGACATTAAGTCCAGTCATGCCTGACTCTGGGGGGCGGTGCTCATCTCCGTTTCCTAGCCGAGGGAGCCGGCGTTTGTCCGCAGACAGTCTCCGTGGCCATGTGGCCAGCGTGACTAAACACCGAAGTGCACGGAGCGCTGTTACCTGCCCACCAAAGTGGCATCTTTTCATCTACTCGCATTTGCATGCTTTCCAGCTGCAAGGTGGGCAGGAGCTGGGACGGAGCAACGGGAACTCACCCCGTTGTGCATTCGAACCGGTGACCTTTCGATCAACCAGCCCAGCAGCACAGCGGTTTAAACCACTGCGCCACCTGCAGTCCAAAAGAATGACAAGGGTGGTGCCAAGCAGGCCTAAGTGGGGAGATCACTCCAAAGCTGGGGGGTGGCAGGAACCACTGTGAAGGCCGCACTGCTTGTCCTGGCCTTCCAAGCCTCCCTCAGAGTTGGCGCTTCTTCATGGCTGCAGCAGGCACTAAACTTTAAAAATGTGGGTAAGCTGTCGCAGCTTCTGCAGCATCCCTTGACTAATGAGCAGGAAGAAATGTGCCCAAAGAAGGGCCCTGCCCAAAAAGGTTACCTTGGGAACTGGGCTGATCAAAGAGGCTAACGAGAAGCCAAATGACATCCAGCAGCCTAACAAAAGGTCATTAAAATAACAGCATCAAGTGTAGACTTCTTCTAGTGAGCAGATGCATCTTTTCTAAGAAAGATGCCTGAATCCAAACTGAGACACAGTTTAGACCCACTGAAATCTTTGGGACTTAAGTCCAGCCCCTTTCACTGGGACTATAATGTGAAAACCTTCGCCTGAATCACATGCATGTGCAGCTGTAGTTCATGTGTACACCAGTGCGCACACACCTCCCTCTCTGTCTTTAAATTAAGGGGCAAAAGGCCCACCCAGCCAAATGATACAAAGGAAGAATGTAATTTCAATGACTTAGACAGACATGAAGCAAGGAAAATGAGGCAGGGCGGGAGCAATCATCATTTCACTCAAACGTGTGTTGCTTTGCAGAGTTTCAGCACAGTCAACAGCCAACTAGATGTGGGTTGTAAAGCATATTGGCTCCATAAAGATACAAAGCGAGTTATAGAATCATGCCGTGTTCAGGTGTCAGAGTTTTTAGTACTGCCCAGGAAGTAGCTTAGGCAGGTTGCTCAGTGCAATTTATGGGAGGACTCATTCCAACAAATATTTTATGCCTTCGCCTGTTTATAGACATTGGCAGACTTGGCAGAGAAGCAGCACATCTGAGGTTGATACCAGCCAAGTGCTTAGGGTGAAACTGCCATTCCATCTAAGCTCTGAGATACCTGAACCACCAGCTTCGGTGAGATTGTTTCTTTACCCGGATGGAGGAACCAGCTGAAATACTAATGTACAATAACGCAGGTCTGAAGGAAAAAGGGAGAGAACCTAGGTTCAAAAGGGCTGAAGCGGGATTATATTTTTGTCATTTGCTAACCTGCTTAAAAAAAAAAAAACACGGGTATCATTTTCGGCTGGAGTGAGGAAGGCACTCCTGTTAAAAGTGGGCAGTTTAAAAAATCAGGGAATTTTAAAAAGGTGTCCCAAAGACCCAGAAGACGTCTCCAGGCAACATGTCTGGAGCACTGACTCAGAACCTTTGTTCTGTCATGGCCACCAGTCTAACAGCAAAGCTTTTCTGCTGATCTCTGCAGAAACAGTGGCTTTGCTTCAAGTTTAAGCAGGCATCAAAGCACCTGCACAATGCTGACCTACTTCCCCCACTGCCCTGTTACTGCCTTGTAAAAAGTTTGCTCGGTCCGCCTGCAGGTTTCGTTACTGAAGTGGCAGCGGCCTGCTAGTGAACCAGTGGCCCACCCGCCAAGCGGCTCGATCCAGGACAACACGTGACTGGAAGAGCATGGCAGATCTCAGGCTCACAACAAAACAGCCCCTGAAGTGTAATAAAGTGGAACAAGAGAAAAAGGTCCCGATGCTCCCACGCATCTTAGAAATACACTGTGCTCACACTATTTTCTCTGGTTCGTCTTTAGTGAGGCTTGCACAAACGGATTTAATTGGATTGCATTGGACTGGATTTCTGTGAGGGAAGGAAAAGACATGCCTTTGGATTTTCTGTGTTTGGCTTCTCAACCCCCAGAAGAATCTGGAAAGTTAAAGCATATATTGGGGGTAGGAGGACTGTTCCTTTTCTGCCAGACAGGAGTAGGCTTGTGGGTCAAGGATGAGAAAGTTAACGATAAGGTGAGGAGAAGAGCTGTCTAACACTGAGCAAAGCAAGAGATGTGGTTTCAGGATTGAGTGGCCTTCAACTAGACAGTCTATAGGTGATGATCTGGTGATGATCTATAGGTGATGATCTGGTGATGATCTATAGGTGATGTTGTGGTGATGATCTGATCCTACCCTCTCTGGTTTGATGGCTTGAGTCCACATTCAGAGCATTCTTCCTCTTTGCGAGCAGAAGACAGGAGCAACTGGAGTGCTGCCAGATAGGCACTCTGCCTGCAGTTCTGGATCTCCATCGAGAACACACTGCCAATTCTTTCTGGGGCCCTGGGACTGATCCTGGTGGGTCAGGAGAAGGGGACTGGGACCAGTTCAGCATTTTAGTTCCTCCAACTGGAGGGTGCATCCACCTGGGTTTAGGAAGGCTGTTGACATCCTCTGACTTCTCTTGACCACCTAGGGCTAGTCAGAGAATCATAGAATACTAGAGCTGAAAGGGATCAAGAAGAACACTGGGTCCAACCCCTGATCAATGCAGGACTCCAAGTTCAAGCATCCTTCTTGGATGGTGATCCCGCTGTAATGATAGTGTCTCTTCTGAGATTTCATTCAGCTGCAGAGTAGTGCTGCCAGAAAGATGGTGGTACAAGGCAAGGACAACTGAACTCATAAAGTGACAGCTGAGTTGAAAAGATATCATTTAAATCATTTTCCCTTTTGAAAAATTCTGTAGAATACTCCAGTGGCTGCATTTTGCTTCCTTACTGGGGCTAGAAAAGTTTTCGGTATTTACAGCTGGTATTTAAGCTTGGACTTGGATACTTGCTATGGCCGGTGCTTTTCAGAAACATTTTGTGGGAGCACAGGCTATTGGGTGGAACAAAGATTGGGAGAAGGCAGCACTAGCTTGCATATGCATGAAAGCTTACTGGAAATGAACATCGCATTACCTAGCACCAGGAAGGGTGGTTGCTTGCTTTAAATTGCTTGTCGACACTACAGACACCCCCTTACATGTGTGGAGGGGCACGATGCAGCCAGATCAGCAGTCATGCTGCCACACGGGTGCTGACCCAGTCTCCCAGCCAGCATGTCCAGACCACAGCAGCAGCCGCCTCTGCTGGTCTTGGCCAGCCAGCAATCCTGTGAGGAACCGACCTGCCATCCGTGCAGGATGCGGAGCTCCCTCTCTGGGGTTACTCCATGGTGAAGGTCTATTGTTTAGCAGCGAACACCTTCTGCTTTCACCTATGACTGTACCTGCTTTACCTATGGGCAGGCACTCAAAACTATCTCTAGGGTCACATGTCTGCAGTTGAGCCAGATGAACAGCTAATGCATTCTCATTATACATTTTATGTGCAGGCAAATGATCATTCTGCAGCTGCGAAACTGGTGCCTAGAAATTTCAGTGGGGTTTAAAAAAAACAACAGCACCCTTGGCAACATTAAGGCATCATCTTAGCTAACAATCAACAGCAAATATGACTTCAGTATTGCCAACAGAAGCAATCACTGAATAGGCATCTAATTACTCTTTATTTGTTTAATGCCAACGATAACTGTCAAGAACAGTTCCTCGTTTAACTGATGCAGGAGATTTCATAGATGCAATATCAGCATATCCTGCAAACTTCAATTAAATGAATAAGCAATGTGTAAAAATTACCCCTTAATTACACAAAGCGTGCTTGAGTCGGATGGCAAGGAATCAAATGGGGTCATGTTAACCATAATAACCTCACTATTCTCAACCAGAGACTTATTTCGGACTTCCTCAGGCTGTTGTTGAGCTCAAAGCTCCACTTTCCATAGGCAGCCATTAAATGTTTAAACTGGCCAAGGTGAGAAACTGCAATGTATGGAATTACAGGAAAGGCCCATGGGCTGGAAGCACCTGATCACAGAGCATCACGAAAGCTAGACAGGCATGAACCTGACCACTGCCTGGATCACAAGCTCCATGTGACCTGTGCTTGAGCTTCCCAACGGAGGAGTGAGATGAAAGCACCATAGCGGAGAGACTCTACTTTGGTTCCCAGGTGAAATGCAGAGGGAGAACACGGAGAGCAGTACAGGAATGTGTTTATACAGGGACAGGGAATGGCTAATCAGTCCTCCTGTCCTGCCCTTCTAGGGCATGTTGTATCATCTATTCTTGTTCCCGTTCCCAAAAACACTTGCATGAATAATCTAAATTTATAACACATAGCCAACTTTCCGTTATACAATCGGACTGGATGGAGGTTCCCAGGCTCTGAAAAGATGTTAAGCCAAGCTTTTTATTCCAGATTAATTAGCTTGAAACATTTGCTCATGAATGTAGCTTGGAGTGTCACTAAATTCTTCAAAGGCATTTGAAAAGAAATAATCCAAATTTATCATCATCACTCTGTCAATCCAGCAATTAGTTTTTCAACTATCACAAACAAAGGGGAAGAAGTAGCTCTAAAGAACCCTTTTCTGTGGGTGAAATGATGATGAAATGTGATAATCCCTAATTCATCTTTATTAAGAATCTCAGGGAATACCCTCTGATGTTGCAACAAGCAACAGGCTCTTCATCACTACTAAAGCTTCTAATTTATGTGTAAGTCTGAAGGCTGGCAAGAGAACACACTGTCCAGCAAGCTACATGCCAGTTATGTGATTCCTTGCCGCACCTGCCAACCACCTTGCTCGTCCCTGGCACACAGCTTTCCCTGCACTCAGCAACGGAGCCTGCCAGCGGCACTTCTCAAAACATTTGTGACATACTTAAGACTAATGCTGAGAAACAGCTTTCAGACCATGATACTCCAGATCTCTTTATCAATCAGAAGTGCAACCGTGTGACTAAAACACAAGATTGCACTGTGGGAACCCAGCTGACACACTTGCATTTGTCTGGCTAGTCAACCTTACAAAAGCTGCTTTGAGTTCCCTATAGCAGCCTTCCCCAACCTGCTGGCTGGCCTTCAGAGGCATTTGGACCACAACTCCCAGAATTCCCACCCAACAGTGCTATTGAGTGGGAATCCTGGGTGCTGTGGTCCAAATGTGTCTGGAGGACACAAGGTGTCCTCTCGAAAGGCGGGATACAAATGCGGTGCACAACATAAAACGCATCTAATCTGCATGAAAGGTTTGCTGTCCTTTGGAACTGAGAGCACACCGCAGAGAGGCGGGTTTCAGTTATCCATTCGGCTCATCTATCCATGCAGGCTGCTTTGTCAGCAAAGCATCTGGCATAAAGCGTTTGGCCCCATGTCAGCCACTGCAGGCAGCATCAGCTTCCATCCCAATTTTATGCTACCTAAGACAGACACCATCACACAAAGAAAGCAGAAACCCCTATTTGACAAGCATGGGAATCTCAGGAGATCGGCAGAGCTCGTAATGGCGATGGCCAACCTGTCTGGCAGCTTGTGTGCAGCAGAGCATCTCCGAATATGCCGCAGACCAACCAAAATGTCCGCTAGCACATAGGAACCCTCGCACCCTCCGGGGAGCTTCTGGCTTTGGTCCACAAAACTGGGTCTGGGAGCAGAGAGTAGCACAGGGCCAGTGAGAGACAGGCAGACCCTCACCAGGCCCCAGGCCCACCTGCACAGGTGTTCCCCCAATTCCTGCGACACGAAGCGTAGGTCACACCTTCCGCTTATGTGAAATGTCCTCCCTCTGCCTGAGACCTGGAAGCCCTACCGGCAGCCAGCAAAGAGATTCCTAGACAAGACAGAAACAGAGCGAGTCAGAAGGGGTCTCCCGGGCCATCTAGTCTGACCTCCAACTCCAGCCGGCTCCATTCATGACATGCCTACCATGTGCATGTCCAGCCTATCCCTGAACGCCCTCACCGATGGGGCCTCAACCACCTCCCGTGGAAGCCCATTCCACACCCTCGGGATCCTAACTGGCAGGGAGTACTGACAGTTGGATGAACTGGTTGATGGACACACAGGTTGCCTCAGTAGAACTCAGCTTCCTATGTTCCTACCCAATTGTCAAAACTAATATGGGAGAAAGCCAAGGTCACATTCCTTTCTCCTTACCCGACAACAGGTGCCTGTGCCTCCCAAGAATCTGTCATGGGTCTCCCAGCCCTTGAGCAGATTCTGAGGGTGGTCAGTGGGGAGAGAAACTTTCATTCTTCCTACTTGCAATGGCTGAAGCGGTTCCCTTAGCAGAAAAGCTTCACTGAACTGCACCCTATGCGTTCCTCTTATTCGTAAAGCACAAAAGCAGTTCAAGACCAACCCACAGCGTCATACAACCAAGGGGGATTCCAGCCATGTGAATGGGTAGCTGTGGCTGGAAGTGTGAAATTCAGTTGTGTCCTGTCTTGATGAGATGCCTGCACAAAAGCTGAGATACTGCATGTATGTGACGTGGGGCCCTCTCCCAGAGACTTTCAGAAATAGCAGCTCCTCACTAAATCCCATTTTCCACGCTTTCAAACAGCATGGATTGTAACTTGATGAAACAAGATTTTAATGTTTTTCCTGCTAAAGAAATTATACCAGCACCTACCTGAGAAAAATGCCATAGCTTCGGCTGAAAATGGATGCCTGGGAATTTTCATTTTACCTTTCACAAACGATTTTTCAAATGCGTGGTTACATTTAAAATAGATTCAAAACTCTTCCAACGCCACCATTCTGCAGCTAGGTCTGTATCAATAGACCATTGTCACGGAGCCCAAAGACATAAATCTCCTATCTGTTTTTTATTTATAAATAACAGAAATCCATCACAAAAGCAAGCACTCCGCATGCCTTGAGAGAGAGATCTGAGACGGCAACAAATTAAACTGGATCCTATTACTTGAAGGTCCAGGACCACAAAGAGCCGCTGAACACCAGCAGTGAACTGGTGTCACTTTGATCTCCATTGTAACAGAAAAGCAAAACGACATGTTCAAATGAAAATCATTTATAATGGATGAAAGCAAGGCTGCACTTTCCCTGAAACAGATACGTCTACAGGGAGGCCAAAGAGAAGAGGGTGTGTGTGGAGGTGCGTGCTTGCATGTTTGAGAACACAGGGGAGAGAGATCCACTATGCAACGGACTCAAAACATCCAGACACTGAAATATTAAGACTCGTATTTTGGAACTTTGCATCTCATTTAGCACTTTGACAAGAATTAATTCTTTTGGCAGGGCAAGCGGAGTGTCCCTACTCTCCATCTCAGCTCTCAGCTCCATTTGCCGGAATGGATTCTGGTCGCAACAGCCGCGGCAGAAGAAGCCTTCACGAGGGAAGCCTCCAACAGCGCTGGTGGAATGGCGCCTCTGCCCCTCTCAAACCCCTTCTGTGCAGCCTGCAGAATGGATGGTGGTGAGGACAGTTCCGGCAGGAGGAGCCAGAGCAAACAATCGGATGGACCTCCCCAACAGCCCCCCACCCCGCAAACAAACACACACACTCAAGCTTCCCCGAAACGGACAGGAAGGCAGAATACCGAATGCCTCTGGAAAGCTAGACTCCAAGCTGCTCCCCACTGAAGAGGTGGAACCTGGAACATCCAGTGTAACGATCAGTAAGTAAGGATGGATGAACCTGCATCTGCTTTCACCACTATTTACACTTTCTAAGCTACCAGTTCACTTTCTCCCATTCCCACATCAGTCTGGATTTTTGTTTAAAGTTTGCATGAAAACTCAAATGCATTTGTACCTGCAATTTCCTCATGTGCGCACAAAATTCCCCCAATACATGCATGCGTGGACATTTTCCCCTAAATAAATATTTACGGGGATATTTTTGCCTTCATTTGTTGATTGCAGAGCCATCTCACACCTCAGAGAAGTACAAGAACAAAAGGATCGCTGTTTTGGTTCACGTGTCAGCATGGGAAGTGAGTCAGCTCATCTCAAAATACCAGTCAAATAAACGTTGCCCCTACCCCATGCATAAGGCCTGGTTCTGCTCCGCAGGTTGTCTCCCCGGGAGCTGCAAATCTTGTGTCCTTCCGATGGACTTACAAATGCTTCCACGGAGTTTCTGGTCCACCATAATCAGTTCTAACTATCTGACTGACACTGTCAAGACCTTGGTTTTTAAAACACTACCTTGCACTGTCAGCCTTCTCCCAGAAAAATCTGCAATCCTTTCTGGACAAATACCTGGACAAATACCTCAGCACTGATGAGAGCTCTCGTCAGGTGGGTAGTGAAATCAGTGACCAGGTGCTAGGCTCTTGTCTGTCTGTCTGTCTGTCTGTCTGTCTGTCTGTCTTTCGGCTATGTTTAGCTCTTCCATTTGCAGTAACTGGGGCTTTTAAATAAAATGTGCCACTGGGACTCATTCAGATGACGGCAAAGTCATGATTCCTAAAGTGAGGCACAAGCTTCCTCAAACTAACGGCAGCATGCCCGCGTTATGCTCTCCGTTCCATCAAGCGTGGGCCCTGCCTGGCGGCCAGGTGACAAGCCATTCACTGAGCCAGCCACTCCCGACATGGTGCGCTCCAGAGGTGGTGGACTGCAATTCCCATGATGCCACCTTGGCTGGGAATCAGGAGCTGCAGCCCAACACTTCTGCAAAGCACCGGGATGAAGCATACTGGCCTGGACTGCCCGTTTCCAACTGCGGAAAGATTTGAACGTTCCTCCATGAGGAGGAAGGCATGCTGCAAACAGAAAGGAGCCCAACCCAGAGACACTTTTGGCCATGGGCCTTTGTGTGCTTGGATGGTTCCTGCCCTTTTTCTAAGCTAAACAATCCCAGTTGTTGCAGCTGCTCTCATGGGGGGAGTTGCTCCAGCCCTGTTTTTGTTGCCCTTCTCTGTCCTGGTTACTTTTGGGTGGTTTCACACAAGAGCAAACCCAGGTTTGCCCCCAGGTGCCCACTCAACATGGAGCTGCAACCAATCCAGACTGCTGTACATGTTACAAATTTTGCCTTGTCTTCTGGATTCACTGTGCCAGCAATAACTGGCAGTTCACATACATCTATTCTAACCAAGTGTCAAGAAGAGCTCTCAGCTCAGTGGCAGAGCACCAGCATTGGACACAAGACTGAATTCTGACAGCTCCATCAGATATACTCTTGGGCAACAAGTCTGAGAAAGATATTCTGCGTGAGACACTGGAGACCACTCACGGCAGCCAACAGTGGCCTTCAAGAACCAGTGGCCTGACTCAAACATCTTCACACATTTCAAGAAGCATCTCACTTAGCTTCCTAGCACCATGCCTAGCTACTCCTAGATATCTGGCTATCAGCTTCTTCAAATTCTTCTTTGAGCATCCAAGCCAAAAACAAAGTATACTTTTCTCTTCCAGTTATGTAATTAGGCTATCCATCTGATAGTTTCAACATTTTGGAATAGACTTAAAAAGAGTCACTTTATTTAAATATATTTACTTATTTCTGTAATAAAACTCCTATTGTGCAGTAGTTGTTGAAAGCAGTTTTTTTAGGCATCACGGACTGAAAATACCGCCTGATGATCAGAAACACAGTACTTTGGAGAAAACCATAAGGAACAGAACAGAAGGGGCTTTCACATACAATTTCGGTATGATTCATTTAATTGCTGAAGAAGGTCATTTTGCTGTACTCTATGGCTTTTGGTAGGTGTCTACACACTTTTAAAATATTGTGCAGGTCAAATACAGTCTGTGCAGATAAATAAAACACTTCCATCAATCAGATGAAGGTAAACATTCCATAACAGCCTTTGATTCCAATTAGAAAACAGAGTGGAGACAACCTGATGCTACCAATTAGAGCACTTCTTGAAAGCGCAACAGTCAACACCAAGGAATTGTGGCTCTTTGGGTCAGCTGAAAGAGGAAAATCATTTTGACAAGACGGAATGGAGAAAGCCTCCATAGGTATCAAAAAGCGTGCTGCTGCTTTCAAGCTAAGCATGGGCTCGTTTTCAAAAGGGGCAAAGAAAATGAAATGACTGAAAAATTAAATTCCAACCTTGCAAGAATAAAGGCCGACACTTGACTCTCCTACACACCATTTACATATCAACTCAGTACAGAAAGTGAAGGACTGAAACCTCATTATTCACGCAAGCCAGGGTCAGGCCACCTGAAAACTTAAGATTGAAGAGGCCTCCAAAGAAAACACAGAAATATACAAATCAGAGTCAAGGTGAGTCTCCAAAGTGTCTACCGCTTCACCCACAACAGGGAGCGAGGGCATCTCTGTTGCCGGAGCCATTGTTTTGGATGAAAGTTTTAAGCGTGGGTCAAGACCCAGTGGAGCGCTGAAACTATCAGAACCCCTTCGAGCAGCTGCATCTTCCCCCTTGCAGGCTTCTCCCGGGAGACTTTAAGTTGCTGCAGCTCGTTCCTTTATATCATGCTATCTATGAAAAAGGGTGCAGCTTCACTTTCATTCTTGAGTAAGTGCACTGAGTAAGTGATAAAGGTGGAAAACACTGTGCACTTCTATGAAATCTCGGCTTGGCTCTTGATTATCCTTCTCTGTCGCACATGCTCTCTGCTTCTACAAATGGGGTGTTTTGCCCACCGAATTCCATCAGCCCAAACCAGCATGACCAAAGGTGAAACGGGATGAGGCTTCCTGCAAGCGGCACAAGCTCACCAGCCCTGCTCTAGCCATTGTGGAATAAACGACACAAGCCAATCAGACGGACACTGGTCAATGCAGGATTCTATGACTCAGGCCAAGGACAATGGTCTTTCTCATAGCAGGCGTGCCTGGACATACTCATTTTTCATACACCACATCCAGGAATATACAGTGGAGAATGCACCAGGTTTCCACTCAAGTCT